TGTGTGTGTGTGTGTGTGTGTGTGTGTGTGTGTGTGTGCTGTAATCTCCGGTGTAATAATGATGATGAAAGTGCTGCAGTAATCCACCTGTCTGTTTACCTGCTGACAGGCAGGACAGTGGATTAAAGCTCAGCAGCATCACTCTGCCTATATATAGACCTGTGAACACGCACACACATACACGCAGACACACACACACTCGCTTATACACACTTATTTTGCTTTCATATGCAGATTTCAAATACTTTAGAAGTTTTCCCAGACAAAACATTTCTGTATGCAGTGAGTTATACATAATAATTACATGTATATTGATGATCTAAGCCTCTGGCACAAAGGCTCAGGTCTCAAACTGCTACAAGGAGCTGCGCCACAGAGAAACTCAAAATAATTAAGAGACACAATAAAACCAGAAATAGAAAAAAGCACAAACACATAATCTGAGTCCTCAGGATTCCCTGGATGATTGAACATGCATCATTGTCTAGTGCAGACCTTCCCAAAGTGTGGGGCTGTTTATGTTTTTAAACCCATTTTGCACAGAGAGGCATTATTTGAAAAATGCATTGACAGCAATGTTGAATATTATATAATATTCAACATTATTACACATGAAAAAAACAACTACAGTAAAATAATGACACTGTGACGCCTCTGCCTTTGTAAACAGAGGGACAGTAACTGCGTGTAAAACCTGCAGACAGTCAGATTAACAGTATTTCATCTCTATCTGCCATTCTGCAATTCATCGCATGTAAACAATAACGTGGCGCACATCCTGACGTGTAAAAGGGCGCATACCTTTGACGTTGTGTGATGAACTCTGTATTCCTCGTCCACACGTAAACGCAAAAAAGGAGTTTTAAAAATCTCCATTTTCGGTGATTCCAAACACCGTTTACATGTGGACGAAACAGCTGTGTGTTCAAAAATACCCGTGTAGGTGTTGACGCAGCGTAACAGAGTTAGTAGTTTATTTTATTACTACTTGTAATTTATTGCAGTTTACTTGTATTTGCTTAATTGTTTACTAAATGTTTGAGGTGTGAAAGAAACCGCAATGGAGCAAAATATGAGTGTGTGTGGTTGGTGGATGTGTTTGTGCGTGCGTGTGCGTGCGTGTGCGTGCGCGCGTGCGAGAAGGGGGGGCGCGAAACATTTTTCTTGTAAAACAAAGGGGGGCCTAGCAAAAAAAGATTGGGAGCCACTGGTGTAGTGTAACATGTGGCTGGATATAACAAGCTTCACCGTAGCAGTGAAGGTGCAGTTTTTCTCTATGAATAAATGTTTCTGTCGTAAATGAAAGACGTGTGTGAGCATGATTTAAAATGTAAACAATGTGTAAAATTACAGGAAAGGAGAAAGTTTCACAAAATTAATCCACAAACAATTCTTGTTGTTTCTTAGTTCAGACCAACGATGAAACAAACAAACTTATACAGACGATGATAAAAAAAAAACTGGAACTTTTCTGCCATTTAAATGTTTATTTATGACTTAATTACTTCGGACTATATGGTCACGGTGGAGATCTTTAACAGAAGGAGAAGCTGCAAAACTTTAACAATACAATCCAGAGTCCGAATTTAATGCACTCCAGGATGTTATTGGCTTAAAAACTGCTGGAGCTGCCATCGTATTAGTGTCCATTAGACACTTCATTACAGGCAACCTCATTAACAATGTCTGCTTTAATAAACACGTTTGGCTTCAACATTAGGACTTCATTAAGCAGCTGGTGGAAAAGCTCCATGTAACACTGCTGTAAGCATCATTTAACTCAAACAGTAATATACAATTTTACACAAATTGCACCTTTAACTGTCCTTTTGTTTTCTGGAGGATTGTTTACTTTCAAAATGATTAAAATCACATTTAAGAAGCACAAAAGGCAAATTCAGCAACAAAAGAGATGAGAAAGCAATGAAAAAAGAACACAAACAGAAGCAAAACTAGTACAAAAAGCATCTCATGAAAATGACAACTGGTTTAGATTAATTGCATTTTTACAGTTTTCTCTGTGTTTTTATAGTTACTGGTGAATTTACTGACAAATCAGAGGATTTTCAGGAGGTCTGTTTATAGAGGTGAGATGTACCTGTCAGGATTCATATCTGAATATTTTAAAATACCAAATAAATATACAGTACATGAATGTTTGTATAGAAAAGCCACATCCATGCAGAAGATTTGGATTCAATATGAGTATTGTGGTTAAAAAATAGCACAACACCTCAATTTCTTATGTAATACAAACTTTATTCCGATAAAAACAAACTGCACACAGGGTTTCCAGAATCACAAACAGTTGTATCGATCAATATAATCTGTAAATCTTTGTGATTTCTTTAAGATTTAAGATTTTCTTTCAAACACAAGTTAGAAAAAATGACAGAAAAACACAGAACGCTGGTCTGAGTATCAGGTGCATACAGACAGTACTGCATGGTCGTGTTGTTATGACATCGTGGGGACCATCCAAAGCACAAAGTTTGCATTTAGACGTAAGCTTTGGCGTCTGGTTCTGATTTGGCTGTGGGCGTGTACACCTTCTGTGGTGCATTTCCATAATAACCGCTGCAAAACAAGAAATACAAAGTCAGACAGATTCTCAAAGCAGCAACATCCCCGGACTGGAACAACTGAAAATGTCAAGAGCTCAACAATAAAAAGTAACGTGTTTACCTTTTCTTCACCGACGCTCTCTTACACGCCGAGCAGAGAAAAGCTCCGCCCAGCATGGCCAGACAGGCTCCAGCCCATCCCATGTAGAGGCCGGTGCCGAGCTCGAACCTGGAAATGACGTGAGAATTATTAACAGACAGAAATCAGCTTAAACGTAAGTTTCAGGCAAAAAAAGCTCAGATTTACTTGTTTTACTTACATTTAAAATGCAAAAAAGATCAAATATAACAAAATAAAATCAGATTAAATTAACATTTAAAGCTGTGTCGTATTAGTTTATAGCATCAAAAACAAATTTATTAATGGAGGAATTAAAAAAGGACTCAGCTGTCCCTTAATGGCAATCATCTTTTCTTTTTAACTCTGGTATTTCTCGTGAGATCAAAATTCAGCATCTGTGTGGTGAACGTACTTCATTCCACCGTAGAACGGATCGTTGAAGTCATTCACCACTCTGGCTGCGTACCAGGAAGCAGCTACCAGGCAGCAAAGACCTGCAGACACAAGCACAAAGTATTACAGCCTCACTTCCTTTCTTTCTTAGTCTCTTTCCACCACCTGTGAGTGCACTCACAGCATCGCATCACCAGTTCTTACTAAAAAATGTTTCTGTTTCACTTTACTTTTGTTTCGTTTCCACCACACAGCATGTATTAGTTTGTACTTTCAATGTCTTTTTATTATTTTTATACCTCTGACTCAACACTTCCTACAAATATAACATTCAATAAGCACTCAGTTTACCTCTTTTAAATTTGAGTTTGATGAGTGTTTTATTGAAGGCTCTTCACTTTGCCAATGGACGACTGTAAGGTGACAGTTCCTACGTTTAATTGGTGTTATATATAAAAACAAACAAACGTGAATCAATAAACTTTAACTACACAAGAGGGGAAAAAGAGGAAGGAGCTTGGCTTTAATCCTGGGAGAGAACCGAGCATGAAAACATCATCTCATGCTGCAAAAAACATTTGTGCTTTAACCCTACACGGGGATCGTATGAGGGCCTCCACGTGTCTGTGTTACTCAAGAGGATCCTTTTTATTTTGGTCCTTTTCTTAATGCATTATCTAATAAATAGCACGGTGCACTTCGTTATACTGACAGCTCATCCAAAAAGTCTGTGCTCCAGTTTTACTGAGTAAAACTCTAGGATCTAACTTGTGTGTTATTCAGCACTAATCTGCAAATATCTGCTTAGTTGGAGAACAACATGGAGAGAAATGCTCCAGGGTTGCAGACTGTGCAAACACGTCATGTCAGTTTTGCTCAGGCAGAATCATTTCTTTGATATATCTGTAAATTCATCCAGTGAACAAATGAAGAAACTTCACTGAAACAAAAGAAAGAACGAAGAACAAAGAACTTGCAGAGCTTCCAACTTCCAACATCTGTAATACATCAATATATAACAATCCACAATAACTCTGTTGAGCTTGGAAAGAAAAACATTGAATGCAAAAATATCCAAATATCTAAAACTTGTGATAGTATTTTGTATTTTGTAGTAAATTTCTGAGTGTCTTAATAATAGAAAATCAATTAACCTTTTCATGACTTTCTCTTCAGACAAAGTTTTCTGTGTTAGTGTTTGCAGCATGTGAAGTGACAGAGATGAACCGTCACACTCACCGGCCAGGATGCTCAGGATTCCTCCAATGGTGGCGATCTTGGCCTTGGATTGTTCAGTCTTTGAGCCGATCTTGATGCACTTGAGTCCAAGCAGAGCGACAATCATGGAGCCGAGGCCGAACAGCAGACAGATGATCATCAGGGCACGACAGGCCTGTACATGGACTGCAGACACAGAAAGAAGTCATTAATTATTATTTACATACTTACTCGGGGTTTGTGGGTAATTGTGTAATTCACATAGAAACAGAGCCTCCGCAGCTCTGTTCATGGAAAACACACCCAGCAAGTTACAAATAGATGATCAGTTTTGTGTAAACACAAAGAAACTGAGCGCTTGATGGGAACTTTTTCAGTGACAGGTTTGTCCTTTGAGTTCTTTCTGTTCATCCCCTGTTATTACCTATTGTGCTGTGTGACAAAACCTGATCTAGACTCGTTGGAATCAATAAATAATTTATTCTGAAACCTGTTTTTTTGTTTTATTTTATATGTGAACATAGTTTTCATGCTAAACAAAGTGAGGCGAGCTGTAATCAAACTTTAAATGTCAAAAAGAACGAAAAATACTCCAGCTGGTGACATAAATCCCAGTAAAACCAGTCCTAACTTCCCTTGACTCTTTATTTTAAATGTAATATAAAACAAACGAGGAAATAACTACCTGTGCAAAGGTAAAAATATATATATAAATATATAACCACCTGTTACTGTAAAACTCGTTTATATGTTTACATCTTTATTAAACCTTTATTAAAAATACACAAAAGCTAAACTGTTTAAGGAAAAGGAGGAACTGGCTGTAACATTAGGTGTGTATTTGTGTGTTTTACAGCTGCTGCAGTCATTTATTAACCAGATGACCTCTGCTGATCATTAGAAACAACTACCACACCTCTTTATGAGCTTCAGGGAATTTCAGGAGCAATGGTAGGTAAGCTGGTAGGAGTCACACCGAGTAATGATGATGAGTTTGGTTTCAACAGCCATTTAAACTCAGACAGGTACATAAATATATGTCACTAAACACCTTTATAACACCAGTTATGTGGACAAGCTTTCTAAAGACGTTCAAAACTCTCAAAAATTGTAACTTTGAATCTTTTATACTGGAGTATTTCATTAGAGCCTCAATTGCAGGAGGAAACCTGGCGTCTCTTTACGTCTTTATCACTATGTAGGAAAACGTGTCGAGAGATTTGATGAGTTTTAAAAATACAAAAACCATCAAAAATAAGCCTCCAGTCTGCTTTTATAGATAAACCTGCTGAACCCACATTAAGGTCCAAGTAAAGTAAAGAATGAAGAAACATGCTGAGCTGTTTGTTTGGGGTTTTTATCCTTCCAGAGAAGTTTCTTTGTTTCTGCCCATTTTGCTTTCAACAGAGAAAACTCAAGATGGCGTCCAAAAACTATCCTTGTATAACAATTACTGAGAAAAAGTCAACCTAACACAATCCAACAATAACCTTTATTGATCAAGCTAAGATTTCTCTGACGATTTATAACAAACATTTTAATAAGTATTTTCCTTTTTACTTTAGGCGGGAAACATCCGGCTGTAAAACCGGCAGCAACCTTTGGACGACAAATTCTGAAATGCTGCCACGCGACACGCTGGCCTATTTTCTAAACAGCCAGTATGACAAGGTTTCAAAGAGCTTTACAGAGATACGACACCTTTATAGCTTTATGAGAGAAACTAAACTGTTTGTCTGGTGGGGCCTAAAAGCTCTGAGCACATCCTGTTTCCTGGGACACGATTGGTCAACAGTTTAACAAGTTTTTTTATTCTGTTTGCTCATCTCCTGTTCTGCTTTTCATAGACACTAATGCTGCTTTTAAAGCAAAATATAATGATGTCATAAAATAACACTAACTTGTTATCAGGTTTGATCAGAGTGTCTGACATCAACTCTCAGCTTGAGATAAGTAACAGGAGGACTTGAGTGTCTGGTCTTACCGGGGAGGGCCAGCATCGATTCAAAGTCCCGGCATTCGGCGATTCCCGCGCTGTTCTCAGCACAGGCGTGCCACAAGTTTTCAAACTGCCTCTGAGAGATGATCACGCTGCCGGACACGGTGGAAACCTTCCAGTAGTCGTTAACCAGCGCCGCACCGTTAACCAGCCAGCTGATTATGCACATGATGAACCCGACCGCTTCCACTGCTGTCGACATGATTACAGATGTTTCCACAAAAATTACTTAAAAAACCACAGCAACTCTCCCCAAAAATCCAGCGACCACAAATAGCCTAACAACAGCAACGTTCACAAGAACATTAACAGGGAGTAACTCTGTGTCCTCTAAGCTGAAGCCTTCAGGTAGTCAGGAACAGGTGGAGGTGATGGAGGCTCTGGTGTCGCTCTTTCAGTTACGTCCTGTTAATCTGACATCTGGTGCTCCAGCACAGGGACTTTACTCTAACAGGGGCCATAAACTGCAGGGCCACTCCTTCTGTTCCCCCTGACCACACACCAATCGATGACAATGATAGATAATGTAGCCGAGTCTTCAGCCACACCTGAGTCACAATGATCCACAGGTTTTTATTATTTTGAGAGGGTTTGTGTTCTGCAGAGGACACTGGGTATTCTTACTTGGGTCTTGGAGCTTTCGATTATTTTCTTTTTCTTTAAAATTCAAAAAGTTGTGGATGAGTTGCGGCGACGTTGCACAGCTTACAATATTGGAGGTTATTTTATTAGCAGATCACATGTAGGGTAATCTGCTTCTTTACAAGCATATTTTAAAATTAATTGATAAACTGCTGCTGTGAGCGTGCCACAGGAAATAGAAATGTAGAAATGATCCAGCATTTTGTACTTTCAGTTTGCTCATCTGGATGTCAGTTTGTTTTTCAATGACTTTTGTTTTGATGCTTTATTAGTAACACAAGTTCTACAAGATAAAATATATCAGTAAATATCCTATTTGTGAATTTTCAGGTATCTCAGAGGAGACGTTTGCTAATGCTAAAGGTGTTGTTTTCATTATGCAAGCGAGTGATACTGATACTGACATTTCTATGGGAGAGGGCGTTTACTGCATACAATACATAATCGTTATAATTACATTTATAATTATATAAATATATATTATATAAGATGAATGGTTGTTAGTTATGGCTGTAATGCACAAACCTTACATACATGTCATAAATTTAAAACTATTTTTTATACTTAAATGTATTTTTATTTCTTTAAATAATCGCTGAATAATTTTTTCACCCCTTTTTCAGCCTCGACTAACAGATTCAGTGTTCATATTATCAGTAATCACAGATCTGTGTCCAATTTAAAATTCCTGTCAAAGAATTTCAATAAAGAAGTGAAATAAAGAAAGTGAGGCTGAGTGAAGTCAGTTATCGAGCAGCTGTTATTGCTTTGAAACCGAGTTCCCCACATGCCTGCTCAACATCACCTCCACCAGCTGTTTTATTGTGTGGCTCTGACCTAACCTGTGCTGGAGGGAAGTGAAACTACGCCACTTCATCTGTTCTTAAAATCCTTCACCACACTGAACCCTAAACTGAAGTTCATACTTGACATACTTCATCAGTAAAGCAGGTGCTCTCTGGTTTCTGGTCGATGAGAACAGGAGAGGAACAGAAACGTCCCGGTTTCACTGCTGAGTCAGCTAAACAAGAGAAGTGTACCAGAGTCGCCTGCCGTGCCTACTAATGACATAATCTTCACTGAAACCATCGTGAGCCACGCAGTGTAGCCACCAGAAATATTATTCTCTATATTTCTTTAACATTTAATTCGCTAATCTTCCTGATTAAACATATTTTGTAACACTAACTACACGAGAAAGCAATAGAAACATACTTGATGCAATTAGCTTTGAAAGGTTTGTGTGTGAGTCATACGTGCTGATTTCAGGCAGCAGGCGGCAGGTTAGCAGGTTGTATGAGATGCTCGAGGTTTTATAGTTTTATGGTTGACAACAGTTAATATTTGATCATCATGAGAGTCCAAAGTCTGACTTTTATGGTCTTTGTATCACCAGAGAGAAAAGAGACTGGCAAAAACAAACAGGTAAATCCCGAACATGGTGCACAACATTTAACATAAGGGAAAAAACTGTTACACACCCAGATACACGCATTGAATGTCCTTATTTTTAAATGAACAATAACATTTACAGAAGTTGCTTTTACAGTTAAATGGACATCTATGCAAAACCGCTCCTGCTGTGAAGAAGCAGGTTAGCTTATCAGTCCTTCAGTTTGTAAAGCTCTTATTCATCTCCTTTTCTGCCCTTCCTTGGCCATGATGCTCTATATCTCAACTCGTCACACAGTGTACAAAACGTTAATCACATTTTAATGCATTTCATGCACGAGAACCATTTTTCAACATGCACTGAAGCCCCTCAGCACGTAAAAGACACGCCATGAGACAACAGCCTGTGATACGGTTTCAGGCAACTAATTGCATCACATCAGGTCTAGCTGCAAATGCACAACATCACAGGGATAAGGTCCAATCCAAACTACAACCACGGGACAGTTATTAAAACGAATGTATGAGAGGAGCGCCCGACTGTACATTCAGCCTTAATCATTAATTAGTCGTTTTAAACACTTATAACGGTATTTTGAAAAGAATGGATAAGTCACAACAAAGTCACCATATTATTATTTTTTTAAAAGGCCTTTCAGGAAAATTAAATTGGTGTGATTTAGAAATATGATCACTCGACAATAAAACAAAGCTCGTATGACTCGTGACCTACATTTGCAGTGCTTTTGCTCCTTCCTGCCTGTGGGTGGTGCTGTTCATCTTTGTTTTAAGTTATCCGAGCTCTAAGCTGCAGTCACCAAATCCAAACAGACGATCCTGTGAGCAAATGTTTTGGCTCTGAAAGAACAAGATGAGCAGCTGTGTAAATATTGCAGATGTCTTCTTTAAAACCCTGCAGGGCTGTGAAGCATCTTCATTTGTGCTTTTTGCTTTTTGTTTTGGCTTCAGCACTTGTTGTTTCTTCTTCAGTCACCTTTCCTCACTCATCATGTGGTTGTACACCTCTCTGCATTCAGTCAGTAGTTATTATTCATCTCTGGCTTTCTACTGCAGCATGTCTTTTGAAAAATATTAGACAATGATGCCTCGAGTAAATCAAAGTACAGCATTTCCAGAGATATCCAGACCTACTTGGCCCTTTGTCGCCACCGTTATGTTGCCACTATCCCTCATTAGCTCCTGTGTGTATTTAAAGGCTTCTGTTTGGCTGTGTTCTTTGATTGTGTTGTGTTGTCTTCTGCTTGTTTGACTCCCTGCATGTGTCTCTTTACATTTTTATCTCTTTGCATTTTTGGTCTCTGCTTTGGATTCATGCTCAGGCTTGCTTCTTATTGGCTGGACTTCAGCCTTGTCATCTTGCATTTTGGCCATAACTCTTTTAGTGTGTCCCCCTCTGCACACCACCAGACGCTGAGGTGACACAGCATCTGGATGAAGTGAACGAGTGGATAAAATGTATTCCAGGAGAGATTAGGATTCCCTCTGCTGAAGCTGAAAACGAGTGCTTGTTATCAAAGGAGCTTGCAAAGAAAAGCGTCTGGACTTCTTTAAGTTACTTAAAGACGTTTCACCTCTCATCCCAGAAGCTTCTTCAGTTCTAAGGTCAAATGGTGGAGAGTCCCAGATATAACCTAGTGGGAGTTTCCCCCCACAGAGGGACAAAAGGACCCCTGATGATCCTCTAATCGCCTGAGCCAAGGTGTGAAACTGGGTGTGGGTCCCAATCAGCCAGAGTTTCGGGTGAGTTCATTGTGAAACCTGGCCTGAAGAAGCTTCTCGGACGAGAGGTGAAACGTCTTCAAGTAACTTAAAGAAGTCCAGACGCTTTTCTTTGCAAGCTCCTTTGACTACGATGACCTGGATGACTGAGAACCTTCACAGACAGAGTGCTTGTTATCTTTGTCACTTTAGCCCAGATTGTATCTGAGGATGTTACTTAAAGGAACCATTCATTTCTAAAATGCTGGTGTCAGGGCTGCTTATCTGCTCACTCACTATGTGGACTGAACAGAAAATAAGATCATGATGTACATTTAAAATCTGACCTCAGAAACTGGCTGGTGTGTCAATCAGACACTTGTTTGCACTGGAACAGCAGCACTATGTACTGACTGTGTTAATACTGATAACAATCAGCGTTGATGATCTTTGTTTGTGTTACAGAAGCTCAACAGGCGTGTTATGAGTTAAGCCAGTAATTTACTGTTGACAGCTGTGCGCCTTGAGGGAAATCATAACAGGTCAGACCGGATCTCCAAATACACCCTCAGCATCCGGACACACTAGCTCCTCTCTGCAGGTCAGAGAAGAGCCGAGTTACAGAGAGACAAAAGACGCTTCTTACGAGTTTGAAACAAGAGTTTGGCAGAAAGACGATAGACGAACTGAAACCTGTGATTTCACTGTGATCTTCCAATTGTCTTCAAGACCTGAGTGAGCACAGAAGGATCTGGGTTATTTTGACAGAGATCTGGATTTTTAATCTCATATTAACGATCCGCCTGTGTGCAGGTACCTGCTCAGATTTGGCTATGAAGGAACCGACGGGCTCATTTCTCCTTCTGGTTTGGAGATAAGTGCTGCAGTCATGACTGTCAGTCTCCTGCTGCTGCTGATGACCCTGCTGAATTTCACAAATGGTGAGTTTACATTCAGCTGACACAGAGACCTGATTCCTGTCTGAGCCCAACACGCAATCACATGAAGGCTCTGCAGCATTAGGTGCTGTTCACACAAGATCAGCTAACAGGCTGGAAAATCCTCCAGGAGGGAGTCTGGCTGCTGCTTTACCAGGATTTCTTTTTGAATGGGATGGTTTATGGTTAAAAACCATATACCACTTCTAAAGTTATAGTAGTCTGTGTGCAAACACACACACATTGTTGTGATAACGGCATCATAATTACTAAGTTATTAATGGATATGTCAACTTCATGTTTCAGCTGGAAATGATTTCACTTACTTATAAATGTGTCTATTCTTATCTGTATTAACACAATGTGATATATTTTTAAATGTGTAGAGTAAGAAGTAATTACCAGCGGAGGTCAGTCGTATCTCTGTGACCTCCCTGTGAACCCCGTGAAGGTGCAGAAGCAGTTATGGTGTGCGCTCCACACACACACATGAAGCAGGAGTTTGTGTGAT